CTCAATCAGACCTTGATTATCCCACACAGCGCCTCACTCCCTGAAGACCACCCGATCATCCGCTGTACCCCCTGGCACCTAGCAGCCCGGCTATGGCCGCCTGCGCCCCGCTGCCCTGCAGCATCCCACCTCACCTCTCGCGCCCCATCGGCGCCCTTGGCAGCAGCGCAGCATCAAGCGAGAGTGCAGCAGCACTTCCGCATTGCCAGCGCTTGCCAGAATGCCTGGCCTGGGCCGCCTCACTTCCTTTATGGAAGTGGCAGCCTGCTGCATGCTGCGTGTGGCCTGGCTGGAAGCTTCCAGTAGCTTCCGGTTGGGCCTCAGACCCTGTGCCCAGGCCGAGACTTACAGTTGAGGGCCTGGGCCCTTTACAGTTGGGCGCGGCCTGAGTCTCCGGACTTGGGCTGTTAGCTGCATTTGCGCAGGGCCCCCAGGTAGGTGCGTCGCCTGTACTGCTTTTCCAAAGGCCAACGGCCTCCTTCTCAATCTATCGGCCCTGCTTTGTGTGTAGGTGCCCAGGCACAACTTTCGTGGCCTGGGCCAACTGTACGGCGCAGCTTAGTGAGGCTCGCGAGTTCACTCAACCAACTGACGCGCTGCAAGAGCCTGAATACCCACATATGGAAATGTCGAATTTGGCCTGTGACGAATATTCAGGCCCGCCTTCACTTAGGGCGGGCACTTGGCTTGCTGGTGCCTTGACCCAGAACAATGTGATGTCTGATAGGGCCACTTGAGGGCTTGTTCCTCACAACAGGGCAACGAAAAAGAAAACCAGACAGAAAGAACGCATCATGTGCCGTGCATTTATCGTCCCCCCCCCAGGAATTTCCCCTAACCCTTCCGCCATCTCTGAGCCCATCTCTCTCTCTCTCTCTCTCACACACACACACACACACACACACACACACACACACACACACAAACAGGAAAGAGGGCAACGAAAAAGAAAACCAGATACGAAGCTCGCACCATGTGATGCGTGTTTACCGGTGACCCCCCCCCCCCCCCAATCTCTCTCTCTCTCTCTCTCGCTCTCTCGCTCTCTCGCTCTCTCACACACACACACACACACACACACACACACACACACACACACACACACACACACACACACACAGATGCACACAAAGAAAAACGAAAAGTAGAAAAGGATTGTGCCACATAGCGCGGTTTCACATTACCCCTCCTCCGCAAACTTTTCCTAACCCTCCCTCTTCTCTTCCACACACACACACATGTACATGCACACTAAAAACAGAGGAACAAAACCGAAAACCGAAGAAGAGTCGCACCGCGTGGTATTCTCTTCAGCTAACCCCTCCTCCGCTGACTTCTCCTACCCTCTCTCTCTCTCTCTCTCTCTCTCTCTCTCTCTCTCTCTCTCTCTCTCTCTCTCTCTCTCTCTCTCTC